TTTTATTAATAAAAGCAGAGGCCCGAAGAGCAGGCGGTGACTCCCAGCCCTGCGCAGGCTGGCGACGTCCTCACCGCTCAGCCTCTCTCCCCCACAGTGGCCTGCACGTTCAGCTGCGTGATGAAGTTCACCATCAAAGACCGCGACCCCAGCACTGGGGAGACCGATGATGAAGGCTACGAGGATGAGTATGTGGTAAGAACCTGGTGTCGGGAGGCTCAGCTTGGTGCCCGAGGCTGGGATCCTTTTCTTGCTGTTCCTGGCTTTACCCCTCTCCTTAAAATAACTTCTTTTTTTTTCTTTTTTTTTTTTGAGACAGAGTCTCGCTCTGTCGCCCCGGCTAGAGTGCCCTGGTGTGAGCCTGGCTCACAGCAACCTCCAACTCCTGGGCTCAAGCGATCCTCCTGCCTCAGCCTCCCGAGTAGCTGAGACTAAGGAGAAGCTGGGATGACAGGAGTAGCTGGGACTATAGGAGTAGCTGGGACACGAGTAGCTGGGACAACAGGAGTAGCTGGGACAACAGGAGTAGCTGGGACACGAGTAGCTGGGACAACAGAAGTAGCTGGGACAACAGGAGTAGCTGGGACTATACGAGTAGCTGGGACGACAGGAGTAGCTGGGACTATACGAGTAGCTGGGACGATAGGCATGCACCACCATGCCTGGCTAATTTTTTCTATATATTTTTAGTTGTCCAGCTAGTTTTCTTTCTATTTTTAGTGGAGACAGGGGTCTCGCTCTTGCTCAGGCTGGTCTCGAACTCCTGACCTCGAGCGATCCTCCTGCCTCGGCCTCCCAGAGTGCTGAGATCACAGGCGTGCGCCACCGCGCCCGGCCTCACTGCGCTTTCTATTAAAGGGACACCAGTTGCCTGTGAGCACTTGGAGGACATGTCCCCACCCAGTCCAGTTGCTCTGTGTCCCCAGACCCTAGCGCAGCCCTCAGCGCCCAGCAGGCACCTGCTGAGCGAGTTGCAGGAAGGGACCGGTGGATGAGATCAGAGCAGAGGCCCCGGGGTGCGTGGAGGCCGGAGTTCCTCCCCTGGGTGGCGGGCGCCCAATTTCTACCTGCATCTCCGCAGCTGGAAGACGTGGAAGTCACGGTAGCCGATCACATCCAAAAGGTCATGAAACTGAACTTCGAAGCCGCCTGGGAGGGGGTAGGGGACGAGTTTGAGAAGGAGGAAACGTTCACGTTGTCTACCATCAAGACGCTCGAAGGTGAGACCCCGGGAATGCCGTCTCTGGGCTGCCGCTGCTCAAGGAGCCCTCCCTACCTCCCTCTCCGGGGATGCGGGGCCACGTCTAGACCGCAGTGTCAAACACCGCTTTATTCAAAGCGCTTCAGAGCACGGGGGTGGGGGACGGTGGCACAAAGATGAGGCGACACGTGGCTTCACGGTACCGGATTTCTCCCTGCAGAGGCCGTCGGCAACATCGTCAAGTTCCTGGGCATGCACCCTTGCGAGAGGTCAGACAGAGTACCCGACAACAAGAACACGCACACCTTGCTCCTGGCGGGTAAGCACCGCTTCAAGGTTGCGGGGG